GTCTTAAGTTGATGAGTAGTTGCTGGTTAGTGTGAGTTTAATGTGAGACCAGGGGTCTGTCCCAATACCCACACTTGCAGTCTTGGCCGCTTGAGAATATGTGACCCTGGAGGATGTATAAATCTCAATTTCAAAAAATTGGCCCTTATGACTGGTTTTGTGGTCCAGGGTCACATATGTGCATGTGACAGGAAGTAGGTGCGTGAGACTGTCCCAGATCTGAAAACTGCCGAAGCTCAAAACACACTAAATCTCTAATAGCACTTCAGCGTAACCATCACTCATCATGTTCAGGAACGCATTTGCCCTGAAAATGTGATATTTTGCGAACCTTCCATTGTAAGTAAGACTAATTAGATATTACATATAATTTGGTAGTAAATAATAAAGTGTTGCACATTTTATTGGTGCAGAGATGAGTATGTGTATTTAGTAAATCTCAGCCAAATATTGTCCGATCCTAACAAACCATACATCAATGGAAAGCTTATTTAGCCTTCAGCCTTCAGATAATGTATAAATCTCAATTTCAAAAAATTGGCCCTTATGACTGGTTTTGTGGTCCAGGGTCACATATGTGCATGTGACAGGAAGTAGGTGCGTGAGACTGTCCCAGATCTGAAAACTGCCGAAGCTCAAAACACACTAAATCTCTAATAGCACTTCAGGATTTTTTTGCACCCTCAGATTCCAGATTTTCAAATAATTGTATCTCGACCAAATATTGTCTGATCCTAACAAACCATACATTACTGAACAGACATTTAGAGGTTTATTTTAAAGTGCAAAGTATCGAAAATCAACAGGTGCAAATAAAACTCTGTAAAAAGTGTGTCCTAGCGGGTAATCAAAAGTTCTACACACTTTCAGTCTTCCAGAGATGGCAAAAGTACACACATCCTTTACTCAACACTCTTAAAAATAAAGGTGCTTCAAAAGGTTCTTCAAGCGACGCCATAGAAGAACCATTTTTGGTTCCACAAAGAACCATTCAGTCAAAGGTTCTTTAAAGAACCATCTCTTTCTTACCTTTTTATAATCTGAAGAACCTTCTTTCGCCACAACGAACCTTCTGTGAAACAGAAAGGTTCTTCAGATGTTAAAGTTTCTTTATGCAACCATTTAGACAAAAAGGTTCTTCTATGGCATCGTGAAGCATCTTTATTTTTAAGAGTGAAGTAGAAGCACAGATACTCAGGTTTAAAAAGACTGGTAAAATACTCACTACACTTTTTTACTCAAGTTAAAGTAAAGAAGTATGGGCTCTGACATGTACTTAAGTAAAACCTAGCCATTACTACCTGTTTTAGTGTCACGCTGGTAACTGGACCTCACATCATAGTAATACATTAATACAAAAGAACTTACAATTCAAATGTTGTTAGTTAATGAATGTATGCAGGCTGAACAACCGCCATGTAGAACACAAGCAGAGAAAAGACTTTGACTACCATTGACTAGATTGTAGGGTGATTCTGCCTCTTGTTCTTGGAAACAACTCGACATTATTATGATGCTTTAAAATTACAAAATTGAGGTGCGTTATACTGTAAATTTTATTGAAATGCAATCAAAGACTATTAGAGTGCAAGCATAATTTACACTTGTTTACTCTGTTAACATGCAGGAGGCCCTTTAACTATAAATCATTAGAAATGTCTAAGGTTTTATTATAAAATATTAAATTATTATGATAAAAAAATCAGTCACAGTAATTTTGTCAGGAAATCTTATGCATCCACTGAGAGAAAAAATAACTCCTGTACACTTCTCTACACTGGAGAAAAACCTATGGATATGAATGTTCTAACTTCTTTAGAGAAAAGTGTTTTTTTCCTATTTTTACCCCAAAATAGGGCGTTATGAGCATTAGTGAGTAATCACGAGTAATGTCATGTCTGCTTTATTCATACTGGCAGGGTAGCTGAATAAAATGCAGATAGAGATGCTTTACCTGATGAAACATCAATACAATAAACATACGACTACGACAATATATGGTTTATCTGTGTTCTTCAAGCCATCTCATGTATTTTTATAAAAACAGCAGCATGAAAACATTATCACATAACTTTAGAAAATCCATTTAGTGTCCAAAAACTAGTGGGAAAATGTACACCAGAGAGGAGAATTTTGCAAAAATTATGTTTATAATAATTTTAATCATATAATTACTGTTTTTATTATAATTAATAAAAATGTATAGATATAAAGTTATTATAAAAATGGTCTAATATGAAAAAAAAAAAAACTTTTAACCTTAACAATAGGATTCCCTGTATAGTTTAATTTATAAAAATTGAGAAAAAATATATACTTAATATATACATATATACTTAATAGCAAGCTTGTTAATTATTCCCGAATTCTCACTCATGGCTGAACTCAAAAGTTGGAAGCCCTCTTTGAAGTAAGCTGAAGTTTTAGGGTTCCTGAACAACATTTACAAAATCCACTGTATAAGTTAATGTTAGATCTTTTGCTCCAATCGCTGGTCAATCAGATGATAGAAATAAGAGAAATAAGTTCCAATAGACTAACATTTGAAGTTACGGTATAGGAATGTAAAAAAATGACCGTGAATTTAATGGTAAAATACTGTAAAAATGCTACAGTAAAAACCTGTTAAATGGTTAACGGTAAATTCCCCTACTATATAGTGAAAAACTGTATTGGACATTACATGTATTGGATAATAATTTTACGGTAGTATACCGTTTTTGGAAGTGAAAAAGACTGTATAATTTACAGTGAATAACCGTAAATTGACATTCCCAGAATTCCCTGCGTTACATTTCAAATTTGATGTTTTTTTGTTGAAATAACTATGTTTCTTCTTAGTTTTTTTCTTATCAGTTTTGTATATTAGGGTTGTGTGTTACACCTAATGTTGTTAAATTAATGTTTATTGCATTATTTCAGTTTCATGTGTGTTATCATGATGGTGTTTGGTGTTTGTGTGAATGACACTGTGCACCTTCTATACGTGTTATTATTTAAAAGCTGCTTGTGAAGGGCTTTGGTTCATCATGTGTCTTTCTCATCACCGCCTGCATTTGGTGGTTATCAGTGTATTACAAAGCTACAAAACAGATTTCAGTACTTCAATAGGTTGGTATATTAACATTATATCAGTTAATGAAATTACGGTATTTAACTGTAAATTTAAGTTAAAACCGTAAAACCTAAAACGTTGCTACTGTATTTTTTATGGTAAAATTCCGGCAACCACAGCTGCCGTTTTTTTACCGTAAATTGTACGGAATTTTTTTTTTTACAGTGATAGCTAATGTGGGGTTATGTGAAGTAATCAGTAATCATAGGACTTCAGGATTTCATTCATGTTTTTTTAATGACAGGTTGGAGTTACACTGATTTTCTGTCATGGTCTATGGACCCCCTGAATTGTCTCACTTTAGTACCCCGCTTACATAAACTGGTCATCTAATTTCATTAAACCATGAACACACATTTAAAAAGAGAATCTGTGTACTCGATCTAAATTCACAGTATAACAATAAATAGTGTAAGATATCTCATGCACAACACACTTAATTAGAAACTCTAAGCATAAATCCCTTGCCCTGTGTGTGATAACCAGCACTAATAATCACCGTACTGCTTTCAGAGAGACATAATCGCCAATAGCTGAGCACAAAAAATAATAATACACATTTATCTTGTAGAATTAATAATTTCGGACTTCCCTGTCCGTGCCTGACGCCAGTATTAATTGGCTTTTCAGAGTGAAACAGTTCTAGCAGCTCCAGTCTTTACTGTGCATTCATATAGTACAGTATTTCTCTTCAAAGACACCTCTCTGGAACATTATCATGCAATTCAGTGTTCAACACTCCAGACAACTTTTCTCGAAGGATTCTTGATCCTTTCTTTGTGGCATGCACCTGGTCTCTTAATATCTCTTACTATCTGAGAGAAATAGAGACTGAGCTAATTGCCTGACGGAGGCCAGCTATGCGGTTCATGACAGCAACCTCTGCATTACACTGTATACGAGTTCTCTCTACCACCAATATTAAATTAAGAATTTTGATTACATCATTCTGCATTTCTGCTTCTCATCAAACGTTCTGTCCAATCGAATGCAAATCTGTAGAATCCAAAAAAAAGGTAACTACACTTTTACTATAATAAAACCATGGTTAATTTTCATAAAGGAAAGAATCAAGAAAAATTGTGCTTCAGCTGCTGACAGTCTTTCTGAACCATGCAAAATGAGACAAATTTGACTAAATATCAGCACTGCTGGGATGCCGCTCAGCTATATATTTAAGTTATAATATGTGACCAGCTCCGTCATTTAGAGTCATTCAAAGCCAGAAACACATTTTGAGTTTGATGAATGGAATGACAAAGTAAACTCTCTGCTTTCTGTCGAGTGGGCAATTGATGTTGAAAAGACATCCAAATTGACATAAAAAAACAACAACAAAAAAAACAGGTCAAATATGCAAATCAAAATGACTTCAAAAACTTAACATGACATTTTAAACTGAACTTCAAACATATTGACCTACATATACATTAAACTCATTTCAGTGTGGGATTAACTTCCTATTTTCACCCAATGTTTGACGTCAAATCGACATCATAATTGATACCGCTGGGTGAGGATATAATCGTTATGACTACTCCAAACTGTTGTCAAGATATGATCATTTAAAAAGTGACCATCTTAAAGGGGTCATATGATGCGATTTCAAGTTTTCCTTTCTATGACCCCTTTAAATAAAACATGTTTTTGTGGAAACGGCCTCAAAAGATTCCAAACGATTTTTAGGTTTTTGTACAGAATAATTCATGCAAACAAGCACTGAGTGTATTTATGATAACTTGCATATGTTGTTGCTCTCCTGTATAATTCTTATTTCCATTATGTGACAGACATCAGAGTCATTATTACTGAGCGCTTCAGCAGAGCTCCCAGTCAAAAGAGAACGTGCAGTCCATCATGTTTCGTTTTACCGTAAATCATCGTGTATCGCCTGCTTTTTTGTGTCGTATCGAGCTCGGACCCTACGGGGAGGAACCCTCTAAGCTAATTATTAAACGCCTCGATTAACATCCAGCAACCTGTATTTGATTTTTTTGAACATAAGAGGATCAAAACAGTGAGTTCTGCCAGAACGGTCTTCTCTTTCATATTATCAGGGCGACGCAGGACGGGTCGAGAAAAACCATTATCCTTCATCTGCGTTTACACGGTGTTCTGTGATGCCATTAAAGAGTCATTGACTTCTAATATGCAGATGGATTGTACTCGAGTATTATGTAATATCTGACGCTGTTAAAGGCTGTATGTGAAATGTTTTTCCTGATTTAGGCGCTCATCATGGAGTTCGGGAATGTGAGTGCGCGTTTATTAGAAGGATTGTGAGCGCGAGTGGAAAGTGTTCTGAGGCTCTTCTGTACGTGGCAGCGACTAAAATCACTGCAAAACAGCTGAAATAAAGCTGGGGAGACTCTAGCAGACTGCTTCAGTAGGGCTGTGTTACTAACCGAGTCGCACAAATTTACAACTCTTATAGAGGTGGAGAAAAATATTTATCGATGACTGTGGATTAATCCATAATATACTCACTTACTGTATTTCTATTTCAGGTCTATTGCAGAGAAAGTAGGACTATATTACAGAATCTTGTCTCAGAAGTTTGCACGAGCCACTTTAATTCACTGAAAATTTTTTTGCTAAAAAATTGTGATGCATCAAGAATCTTGTTGGGATCGGACTGTGACTTTCTGAACCCGACTCGGATTGAATCGTGAGGTCTTTAAATGGTGACCTATTTTAAAGGACTTGTGGATTCTCTGTGGTTTCCAATTTAAGTTCATCCAGTTTCACCCACGCCCAGTTAAACCGTTCGCTTTGACAGTAATGAGCGGTCATTAGCTACAAACTTAGTTAGTTCCCACCCTCACATTTGAACCAAAGAGTTTGCTGTCTGTGACCGTGACCAATTCCACTTACACTTTTGCGATTATAAAATCAGCAGTAGATACTCAGCCCAGAAAATTACATCTTAAAAGTTAAGAACATACTGGTTCTCCACTGTGCTTTCGAATAAAGGCAAAAAACTAATAAAAAAAAAGAAATAATCTTATATATAATGCATTCAGTGGCTCTTTGTGTTTTTTAAAGAAGTCTCTTCTGCTCATCAAGGCTGCATTTGTTTGATCAAAAATGCAGAAACAAAAACAGTAATATTGTGAAATATAATTACAATTTAAAAGAACAGTTTTCTATTTTAATATACTTTAAAATATTATTTATTTCTTTGATGCAAAGCTGAATTTTCATCAGCCATTAGAGATTTCTGTTTTAAATGAATGCTGTTTGTTTTAACTTTTTATTCATCAAAAAAATATGAAGCAGCAAAACTGTATCCAGCACTGATAATAAATCAGCATATTATGATTTCTGAAGGATCATGTGACACTGAAGACTGGAGTAATGATGCTGATAATTCAGCTTTGCATCACAGGAATAAATTATATTTTAAAGTACATTAAAATAGAACACTGGTATTTTAAATTGCAATAATATTTAACAATATTATAGTTTTTTTCTGCATTTAATAAAATCTGCATCAAATAAATGCAGACTTGATGAGCAGAAGAGACTTCTTCAAAAAATATTAAACATCTTACTGTTCCCAAACGTTTGAACGGCAGTGTGTGTATACAGTATATCTGTTGTAGTCATACTCTTGTTTTTCACCAGCAGTAAAAGCTCTGCAGTTGTTTCTTGACCCATTTGTGGTTAAGCACCAAAGAACTGACTTGGCTCAGTATTATTCAGTGTTTGTCCTCAATCGTAAGCATGCTTAACACACATATGCACAGACTTGGTGCATAAAAATATATTTTTAACAACCTGTGCAATCTTTAGCTAAGGACTTTGGTTAACTCCAATGTTATATAAAGTATATCTGCACATTTCTAAAATGTCTGTTTGGTTTCCTTGTAGGTTTTGCTTTACAATGGCAACATTTCTGGTGTTAACGCTGTTGACTCTGTCGTCCTTCTCTTCTCCCGTGCAAGCCGAAATCTTCACGTCAATCGGTAAAATTCTCAGTCATTCTGTTTTGCTGTTCAATACGCAGAGACCGCTGTAAGTAAACCATATATAGGTTGATTTCCCCAAACTGGCTTTGTAGTGCAATCACAACTTAGCAGTTTGTTTGAAATCCCTCTTTAGTCCAGAAACAGAGCTGCCAGAACGACTCATTGCCAGACCAGTGACTGAACGGTCAACTTCACACTGTTCCTCTTTGTTGCAATCATCTGGTATTTAGATTGTGATTAAATTATATACAGAAAGCGATCAAAGAATGCTGCCTTTGTAATTGCCGGAGCTTTCAATCAATTCAGTTAAAGGGATAGTTTTGCCATCATTTACTCAAATACTATGACTGGCTTTGCTGAAGGGCTGTAAAGCTTAAACCATACATCAATGGAAAGATTATTTATTCAGCCTTCAGATGATGTATAAATCTAAATTTCGGAAAATTTACTCTTATTTACTGCTTTTTTGGTCTTCTGGTCATTTCTTTGTCATTTTTCTATGCTACAATTTTGCCTTCTCCTCTCACAGGCCAAATGACAGACCTGATATTTGCAGAGAGGGAGCTTGTCCAGTCCCTGAAGGAATACATTGAAGCAGAAGAGTTGAAACTCGAAGCTGTGAAGAGGTGAGTCTTTCACTAGAATATATGACTGCACATGAACCAGTGACTCATCTGTGTTTTTTTTTTGTCCATCTGCTGGCTTCAGCTGGGCTAATAAACTGGATATGTTGACCCGTGCATCCACGTCGGACCCTGAAGGCTTCCTGGCTCACCCGGTGAACGCCTACAAGCTGATGAAGAGACTCAACACCGAGTGGTCCGAGTTAGAGAGTCTGGTGCTGCAGGACCCGTCCGATGGTACAGTATATCAGCTTTCATCACAAGTCATGGAAGATTCAACTTTGAGAAAATTGTAATGGGAAATGTTAAAATCAAAAAATGGTCAGGATTGGACTGTAGATTCATGATAGTTGAATGTTTTTTGACACTATAATTTTGTGTTTTTTTTTTTTTTTGGGCATTAATTTTTT